CCATAAGGACAGCAGTAAGTAAAGTGGTCATAAAAACAGCAGAAAGCAAAGTGGTCATAAGAACAGCAGAAAGCAAAGTGGTCATAAGAACAGCAGTAAGTAAAGTGGTCATAAGAACAGCAGAAAGCAAAATGGTCATAAGAACAGCAGAAAGCAAAGTGGTCATAAGAACAGCAGAAAGTAAAGTGGTCATACGATTAATAGAAAGCAAAGTGGTAATAAGAACAGCAGAAAGTAAAGTGGTCATAAGAATAGCAGAAAGCAAAGTGGTGGTGATTTTAAACCCTAAACCCTTTAAGATCACTCGTACGTGACTGCGTTCACTAGTTTTCCCATCGCTTTATTCTACTTGTATGAGTGGTTGTTTGAAGGCGCGACTTCCAGCAAACTTTGACCGCACCCTTATCTTGCAGCTAAACCCCAAGACCTGGAAAGTTCAGAGAGTTATTTATTCTTATCTGTATACAGATTTCCTTCCTATACATATTCAAAAGTCTGACCAGTACCATTGCAAGTATCACTGAAAGTTCTATGTATTTCTATATACAATATATACAAAGATTCATATCTGTGTATAGAACCCCTTCCTATACACATATAGATCATATACTTTTTATATACCATATATATGCAATGCATAAGTCTGGCTATTACCATTACAACCATATGTATCACTGAAAGTTCACATATAAGAATCCCGCAAACACGTCTGTCAACACACAGTTATCGATTGCAACAGGAAAATGGTCACCCCATTTCATCATTCTCTGCTAGCAAAGACAGCAACCCTGACTGAACTTTTCGGTACATATGTGGAAGCACAGGCATAGAGTGGAATCAACACTTGTCCATATATCTATCTGAAATTGTGTCATCTTATACTCGCATTTGATGGCGGTGGCAACTTCATCATTTTATGGTTGCAGATGCTATATGCTATTCCAACCGCAAGTATTCAATAGGAATCTAGCGGCCATTCTTGCCCAAACATCTGACTTGGTCGACCACTTCTAAGTTTATAATATCTCATACACCTGTAATTGGTCCGCATAATCTATTACTATAATGTAGCGAATATCTCATCCCACATGTGCATCTGACACGTGCACCCGCTTGTGTATATAGCGCTGCTAAATCACAGCTGGCGTACGTTGCTGGTGGTAGCCATGACAGACGAGATGTTCCTCAGCTGCGCAATTGCGACCGTCAGGTGTGTGTTGCGCTTCTCCAACTCCTGCAAATTGTTTATGAAAGCAAGCAGAGCCAAGCATTAGCACATCGACTGCTCATTGGAGCAGTATACTGGGGCTGTGGTGAATCGAATAATGCGAATGAATCTTAATTTTCTATGCACGTGACCATCAACAGGCCCATAGATATGTCCCTATCCGTATACGTGTCTGTAAGTAGACCTCAAACAACCACTCCTCGTATGCGACCGTCTCTGCGACCACTCCATTTCCCCCCGTGACACACAGAAGTGACTGGCTGCTCCTCCAGATAAGCCACACATTTGTAAAAATTGGGTAGACAGCAGTTACCACTGATTGGTGATCACACGCCTTCTGTTGCTTCTACTTTCATCAGCTACGGTTTCCGCGATTGAGCAGTAGTCATAGATATGCAGCCGCCACACTAGAGTCGGGATTTATATGGCAAGGTTTATATCCAGCTCTAAAACCCGATCATAAACACTCAATTTCTCTTGGAACACACTTACTTGTTCATATCCCCAATGATATACTAAATTCATACATACGCAAGATACGAACGTTCCTCAGATCACATACTTCCCACATTACCACACACTCATTATGCTGATACCTAAAACCCTAAAAACCTAAACCCTAAGGCTCCTCAGATCACACACTTCCCACATTGCCACTCACCCATGATGCTGATACAATGTTCCGAGACGAATATTACTTCAATATTCGACACCCACAGTCTGCTATGAACAATCAGCCGCACCTACAAACGAACAAACACAAACTACTCAAACGGTTTGACCGAACAGCGAATGTACAACACAACTGCACAGTGCGACTGCATAGGCGGCAACAGCTGTGGCAGTGCTTACTAATACAGTATCTGCACTCGACCACGCAAAGTCAGTCAGACGCAACAGCTCGGCAGCCAATGCTATGAGAAAGCCCAGATGCTTTACTGCCATGTACATATAAAGTACCAACAACAGGCAAGCAAACTATAAGCAAGGCGCTACAGCAGCACATGAGTCTTCGTGAGTGTACATAGGCGTAACAGGTGTATCCTTGCATTCTACCTACCACTCTCAGGTGGTTCCTCTGTGCCTCCAGCTGTAGGTATTTGGCGGTATCTGCGGCACTCATCTCGGATTGTTCCGTGAGTACAACCTTCTCTTTCCTCCCCACCCACTCTGCCGGGCAGATTCTATTTATAGCTTGCAAGTGGTCCCGCAATTGCTGAATTGCGGTATTGTACGATTCTAGTCGTTTGGCTAATCTCTCGTTGAATTCTTCATTGGATTTTGCCCCGTCTTCTGTGGTGTCCTTCCGTTGTGATTCAGAGCGCTTGAGTGTCTCTAAGCATATACCAATGACCACGAGGATAGATACGCGGGTGTAGTGATATGTACGTTAGTATATGAATACATATAAATATATATATCCATAACTGACTATGTATACGTATAGGCTAATGCGAGCATATATAGTAGGTAGTGATAGGAATACGACGAACTGTGTGGGGATGAGAAGAATAGACAGCTGACCATCAAACAGGTGTGAAAGGACGCGTGTGTGTGGTAATCTACAACAGTGATGATTGCAATTACGTGGCAGCATGAACACATTGATCAAGGATATCTATAAATCAAACTACAGCTGGCGGCGCAACTGCCAGCGAAAAAGTTCAATCATAGCATAACTTAACCTGCTGCAGACAACAAATGTATCAGTGTGGACAGATGGGGTGTGTAAGTTTGCGCTTTTGCAGGTGAATATATATACACTGACTACAAAGCGTACATGGAGTGACTTACTGATATTCAATGCGTACATGGAGTGACTTACTGTTATTCAATGCGTACATGGAGTGACTTACTGCTATTCAATGCGCACATGGAGTGACTTACAGTTATTCAATGCGTACATGGAGTAACTTACTGTTATTCAATGCGTACATGGAGTGACTTACTGTTATTCAATGCGTACATGGAGTGACTTACTGTTATTCAATGCGCACATGAATGACTTACTGTTATTGGCGGTGCCTGGCTCTTGCTCTACGCCCACTGCCTGTTCGTCGTTGGTCTGCGGATTGAACAGTTTGTACTGCCGAACACCAGAACGACCGAAATCAGAAGAGTCACATCACACACTGAGGCAGGGCAGTGGCGCATTGGAGGGAGTCTCAATCAAACACACACAAAGGCACATGTGCATGCACATATCACCCGGGCTGAATGCCTTGTATGGATGTAGCTGTGCGTGATCACGAGCACTGAACCTATAACCAATCTCTGCGCAGATGTGCTAGCAAAATCTGCTGGCTCACCTACAACTTGCCCGTAGTAGGGCAAAAGGGCCATCGCGCTGAGATACTGTATACTTGGCTATACTCACACGTCTATGCAGGTGTATGTACACTTGGCTATACTCGCACGTCTATGCAGGTGTATGTACACTTGGCTATACTCACACGTCTATGCAGGTATATGTACACTTGGCTATACTCACACGTCTATGCAGGCGTACATACACTTGGCTATACTCACACATCTATGCAGGTGTATGTACACTTGGTTATACTCACACATCTATACAGGTGATGTACACTTGGTTATACTCACACATCTATACAGGTGTATTTATACTCGTCTATACTCACACATCTATGCAGGTGTACGTACACTTGGCTATACTCACACATCTATGCAGGTGTTCATGGTACGTATTGATTTCCATATAGCTGCACGTACAAAGTAGATGTAGCCTCTGGTTGGTACTTCCATCGCACGATCAGGACTACGTATTAGCATGTGCACGTACTAGAAGTAGATAGGTGAAATGGGCGGCCCTTGTGGATGTATCTGACAGCTGACAGGTAGCACAACGACACAACACACAAGACTAGTTGACACTCAGCGCCCAAAGCGAAAGGAAGCGACACGTGCGCTTTGCGTTGGGTTGAGATATGCACTCGTTCGGTACAATAGAACAACACATCGCGGCATTCCTTTAGCCACCTAGTATAGGCGTAACACTATACGAAGTAGATCTAAACTAGATACCTACCGTTCTCTGGGTGTCTAATAGTACATTGACCTCGGCCACGGTGCAATCCAATAACATAACAAGATCTTCCTATAATAGACTACCATAGTCACAAGCTCTATCATGTGACTATATACTAAATACCTACTACATTCAGTGTTACGAACAGTACATTGACAATCCAATAACATAACAAGATCTTCCTATAATAGACTACCATAGTCACAAGCTCTATCATGTGACTATATACTAGATACCTGTTAATTCAGTGTTACGAACAGTACATTGACAATCCAATATCATAACAAGACCTTCCTATAATAAACTACCATAGTCACAAGCTCTATCGTGTGACTATATACTAGATACCTACTACATTCAGTGTTACGAACAGTACATTGACCTCTATCACGTTACACTACAAAAGCACAGCACGCCACTCCTGCCACAGACTAATATGAATAGAATAAACTGAAGATATACAATGAATTCTAAAACTAGATACCTACCATTTTTAGAGTGTCGAAAAGCGCATTGACCTCAGCCAACACCCTGTGCAGGTCAGCATTGGCTGCACGTGTGAGCTGCAGAGTATGCGCTACATCGTCCACAGATACCGTCATGGTCTCTGTGTTCTCAGGCTGTGTTTGTAAACGTGTGTGGTTGTAGTGTTGCTGGACACGTGTGTGTGTATTAAGGACTGTGTGTCAATGTCTGTGTTGTGTGCTACACCCACGTGCCTTGCCACCCGCCTGTGTTCACAGCTGTGTGTATGTTATTGCAGTTGAATCCCTTGATGAGCCCCCAAGTGGAAGGTACAAGTAGGCTGACCACTGCTTGATACTGAAAGTGTGATATTCTTCAGAGTAGCTTGGTAAGTGGGTTGCCACGGTGTTGAACCTTCGCTATTTAACTCACGACAAGCAGAACTGATATGTAGGTGTTCCGAAATATTAGATGAACCGTTGATCACATTTCCATTTCTATCAGATCTATTGTACACCTATATACTTTTAAATTGGAAGTCCCGCTTGTTCAAGCTTGACGGGCTGATTCGCAAAAGCTGCTATTTGATATTTGCATATATATTGTATGCGGCGACTGCTTCTGCAATCAATCGGTCACGCGGGTAAGAATCCCACGTAGTGATGCAGTAGTGTATTAATTTGGCTACGTGGCACTAAATAAACTCATATCACAGTGAGATTCGGAGTCAAATTCCATTCTACACTCCATCTGCTCAACTCAGGATCCACAAAATCGAGCATGCGAACGATACGGTAACCCGGGACGGACTATACAATAGTTGTGTGGGTACACGTATACGTATACGTTATAAGAAGGACCTATACTGACAATATTTACATACGCACTTTGTTTAAAATGTAATACAATGCATTGACTGCTAAAAAAAGTACAAGCAGGGCAACGACAAATAGCATTGACTGCTGAGTGACTGCTGTGCTCACACGACATCGCTGACCAGTCACCCAACAAGTGTCTGTTAATAGCCTCTCGGTCTTAGGTCTCAATTTGAGCGCCAAATTTCACTCTTTCCAAATATATCTTGCCGCTGAAATGTACCAAGTTACCATCACAACTCACAGCACACGGACACTATATGGAACAGGTTACTCGATCATTGCCTTTGTGTCGAATTTAGAAGGCTATGATTTTTAATAGTTATATATATAACACCAAAAGAAAACGACGCAAGGTCTAGCACAACTCACAAGTACTGGCCCGACTCAATCTCATTACTATACCTTACACACTCTTTATTCTCTTTATATTCATTACTATACCTTACACACTCTTTATTCTCTTTATATATATATATATATATTACTGTGATATACTACATATCACGTAACGAGAAATATATTTACATAGTAGACATGAATATAGATGACGAGGTGACTGGTTACCAATCTCTCGTCCGGTTTCCTTGGACAGCACCAGGAAATGACAACCGTACTGAGATAGCCCCTAACACAGGTGGGTAAAAGTACAGTTAAGTATTACGAGTGTGATGTAAACGTGACTTATGATTATGGTAATGTGGAGGTTGCTTTGGTGCATGCAAATAGCTCCGAAGACAACTGTTGTATGTGTGCAATATATCGTAGAAAGTATGTGCAAAGGATGCTTGTGTACGATATACACATTCAGATGTCTTCTACAGATGTTACAAGTACGGTGAAGGATAATGAAAGTGATGGAAAGGAGGATTACCTGATATTCTGAGCATACAAGTTTACACATACTGCCCCTAGCGCATTTGGTAAGATTGCATTGAGTTGTATTGATTGATACAAAGACGCTTGTGTAATATTCTGGGTATTAGGGTAAGATTGCAGTAAGTTATATTGCTTGTAATACAAAGACGCTTGTTCAATATTCTAGGCACAAACAGATATACACAAACAGCTCCTGAAAGAGGGAGATGGAAGTGCAGTAAAGTACGATATTTCATGCAAAGGATGCGTGATCGTATTATAAAGGCAGAATCACCACTAAGGTCGCTTCTATCGCTGACGGGTTACTGTGCAATAGATGTTTGTAATAAATATGATTAAAAATATTATACTCGTGCGGTTTTGTATAGATATCCACGTATATCTAGCTCCTAAGACAGGTAGGATAGAACAGTAAATTAAATGTGATACAGAATTGCTTATGTGATGTACTCAATCTTAAACTCCCACACATGTCGATACACATCTATATCCCAGTTAAGATGGTTGAAGCGCTTTGAGTTTGTAGCTTCTTTCAAAGCAAAAATGCAAAGTGTAATAATTTATAATCATTCTTGACGATGCATACTTATGAATACATATGGGTGTTGGAGTGAGTGGGTGAGTGAGAGATGGACATTATATATATATATATGTGTGTGTGTGTGTGTGTATGTGTGTGTGTGTGTGTATGTGTGTGCGTGTGTGTGTGTGTGTGTGTGTGTGTGTGTGTGTGTGCGTGTGTGTATGTATATATATATATATATATATATACATGTATATGTATATATATATATATCCGCTTATATATAGGTATATGTATATTTATATATATATATGTGTGTGTGTGTGTGTGTGTATGTATATATATATACATGTATATGTAAATATGTATATTCATATATTTATATATATATATATATATATATATATATATATATATGTATATGCTTATA